TCATTGGCTGAGCTGTGGCGTTTCTCATTGGCTGAGCTGTTGCCAGGTGGGGAGAGAAATCTTCCTGCAGTAATAAAGTAGTCTTACTTCCTGTGAAGATGCAGGCGTCTGTCTCTTCCTCTTTAGTGTAATCTACGATGTGTGATAGTGGTGAGAGCTCCCCCTACAGGCCCTCCTGACTCCAATTTAGTTAAGCTTTCTTTTGTTAATTCCCACAACCAAAACCTTTTTTTTTTGTTTTTGAGATAGAGTTCACATACCATAAAATTCACCATTCTGAAGTGTACAGTTCAGTAGTTTGTAGTATATCCACAAGGTTGTGCAACCATCACTACAATCGTACTATCTCATTCCAGAAAGCAAGTCCTTTTTTAACAGTGATTTTTTTTTTTCCAGACTATGTCCTACATTTCAAAATATATGAACTTCAAAAAGAATAGAAGGTACAGAATCATGCAAGTGTCCCAGGCTGCCAAGTCCCCTCCCAGGAGGCCACCTGTTAGTGGTTTCTTGTATGTCCTTCAGAGCACGGCCTCTCAAAGCTGTCAGGCCAGTAACCCTCCTCCTGTTTTCAGGGTTTATTCAGAAAACCCTTTTTATTTTGAATAATTTCAGATTTACAGAAAAGTTGCAAAAAGAGTACAAGAAATTTGCTGCGTGCCCTTCTCCCAGGTTCCCCAAGTGTTCACATTTTCCACATTTGCTTTATCACTGTCTATCTTTCTAATTACTTATTCTGAACAGTTTGAGACAATAGTGTAGACAAGGTACCCCTTTTACCCTTTGTATTATGACCACTGTCACAAATGACCACAAACACGGTGGCTTAAAACAACACACGTTTATTCTCTTACAGTTCTGCAGTTCAGAAATCCAAAATCAGTCTCACTGGGCTAAAATCAAGGTGTGGGCAGGGCTAGTTCCTTCTGGAGACTCTGGGGAGAATATGTTTTCTTGCCTTCTCCAGAGTCCAGAGGCCGCCTGCGTTCCTTGGCTCACGGCCCCTTCCTCCAGCTTCAAACACATCACTCTAACCTCGCTCACATGGCCTTCTCCCTCTGCCTCCCTCTTCTAAGGACCCTAACAATTACATTTAGAGCCCATCTGGGTAATGTAGGATTAAGCTCCCATCTCAAGATCCTTAATTTAATCACATCTATGAAGTCCATTTTGCTCTGCGAGGTAACATTCACAGGCCCCAGGTGTTCCGATGTAGACATCTTGGGGGGGGGGAATTATTCAGCCCACCCCCCCCCCCGAATCTGTCAGTGCCTATTTCCTAAGAACATTCTCTTATACAACCACAGTACGGTATCATCATCAGGAAATTAACATTGGTGCTGTCCATACTATTATCTAATCCATAGACCATAATATCCCAATAATGTCCTTTATAGCAAAATATATATATATATATTATTTTTTAAAGTTACACACACACATGCATCTCCCCAGTGCAGGATCACACGTTGCATCTAATCATCACGTTTTACTCTCCGTCGTCTGGAATTGTTCCTGAGTCTATCTTTATCGTTGGTGACCTAGACGCTTTTGAAGATTACAGAGCAGTTGTTTCGTCTCGACGTGGGTGTGTTTCCTCGCGATAAGATTCGGGTTACGCATTTTTGGCAGGAGTATCCCAGAAAGGTACTCCCCCCCTCCACCTTGCACCACCCCTTTTTACTAAGTAAACTTTGTGTCCAAGTTTGCATGGGCACCAAAAAGTGCGCACAGAGCCTGAGCACACGGCTCGGGGGATTTCCAAAAGTGAACGCCCGGTATCCCAGCATCGACAAGCCCCCTCATGCCCCTTCCCATCACCAGAAATCCCCTGAATGTCACCATTATTGTGGCGTCTAAGAACGTGGAGTTGTTCTGTCTGTTCTTGAATTTGATACAAACAGACTCATAGGGAACTTGCACTTTCGTGTCTGGCTTCTTCGGTTCAGCCCTGGGATGGTGAAATTCGTCCATACTCAGTGAGTGGCAAGGAAGGGGCTTCTGAGTGGCTGGCTCTGTGGTGCATTCACTTTGTAAAAACTCGCTGAGCTGGATGTGTATGATTTGTGCACTTTTCTGTATGCGTGCTGTACATACATATTTACATTTGGGTTTTATGCTAAAAGAGAAAGGCAAAGAGAAGTACAGCCATTAAGAATACACACCCCAGGGTCAGACTAACTGGGTTTGAATCTCGGCCGTGCAGCGTATGAACTGGATGATCTTGGGCAAGTTGGTTACCGGAATGTGCCTCGGTTTCCCCATCTGTGAAATGGGGGTTTGACTCATTTCCCGTCTGCAAAATTGCTTTTGCAGGACCTGCCTCATTGAGTTGTTATGGAGGTTAAATGAATTCGTTTATAAGTGTTTGTCGCAGGACCTGGCACGGAGTAAGTGGAAATAAATCAGCGTCCATTTCAATCCGGAAATCGTAAAATCCGTTCTGGAATGCATAGCTGATGAGGTCCCTAGGTGCCTGCGAAGATCTGGAGCATCACCACGAAAGCAGCAGATACAGACCCAGCGTGGTGCAGGCGCGCTCTGTGGTCCACTCAAATGCTACGTGCGGCTGTGCTGTGGGGGACCAGAGGGTTCTGAAACGGTGACCGAATCTTGATAAAATTCTGAACAAAACCAACCACAGTCTTTCCTCGGATTACACAGTGTACCCTTCTGGAAAATTCGCTGTGTATTAAAACCAAACAGAAAGCACTTGTATGTTTGTACATGCAACACTTGGGATTAGTCTCAGATAATTACACACCATTATTTCACAGACATGAATGTCCAATGGGACGTTTAGAAGGCACACGGAACAGAAGGGCGTCTGCATCCAGGTCCCCGCCTGCCCGGTCTCTGTGACATCCAGAAACACCCCATACATTGCAGCGTGGTCCCAATCTTTACCCCAAACAAACCCTACAAGTTCTGGGGATGTACTCTAGGGGGCGGCATCGCCCACTTACAGTGAGATTCTAGCCTCTCTGCACAGACAAGGAGGTCCAGTCCGTCCTCATTCGCGGTTTCTGCATTTGCGAATTCGCCAACACGCTGGATTTAGTCGTACCCCCAAAACCAATAGTCCTGATGGTTTTGTGCTCATTGCAGTCACTCATAGAGGGGGGAAAATTTGAGTTGCCCAGTGCACGGTCACTGGGGTCCAACAGGCGACGCTCTTCTTGTTCAACTCATGCTGTAAATCAGAGTCCTTTCCATGGTCTATTGAGTGCCTTGTTTTCCGCGTTTTTGTGCTTTTTTGTTGGTGATTTCACTGCCTAAAATGCTCCCCAAGTGTAGAGCTTAACGCTGTCTGGTGTTGCTAAGCACGGGAGGGCTGTGATGTGCCTTACGGGGAAAATCCGTGTGTTAGATGGGCTTCGTTCAGGCTCGAGTTACGGTGCTGTTGGCTGTGATTTCAATGTTAATGAAGCAACAACATGTATCAGATAAGGTGCCTTTAAACAGAAACACACATAAAACAAGGTGATGTATTGATCAGTTGATAAAAATGTGACCAGAGGCTCACAGGAACCAAACTCTGTGCTTCCCCCTGGAAGCATTTGTTCGCATTCTCTAATTCAGTGTTCGAGGCGACTCTATAGAATATTAATTGCCTCGAATAACGAGAATCAACTGTACTTGATATTTTCTGCCTTTTGAACATAGATAGCAGTATGCCATGTACACCATTCTCCACCTCATATTTTTCACATGATATTTTAGAAATCTTTCTGTATCGCTGAAGACCTTCCTTGTTCGTTTCCCTAAGTCCTTCATCGCTTTATAAAATGGACAACATAAGTAGACACTGAACGGTAATAAAGCAAACCTCGGACACAGAATGCAGAATTAGTTTATCCATTCATATGCTTTAAGGCCTGCCCAGTGTCACAGGTGGATTTTAAGCTGAGGGATGGTGGTATAATTTGACGTAGGGTTTTGTTTTCTTTATTGTTTTTTACTTTTATTTATTTATGGTTTTTTTGGTGAGGAAGATTGTCCCTGAGCTAACATCTATTGCCAGTCCTCCTCTTTTTGCTGAGGAAGATTGGGCCTGGGCTAACATCTGTGCCCATCTTCATCTACTTTATATGTGGGACACCTGCCACAGCATGGCTTGATGAGCAGCACATAGGTCCAAGCCTGGGATCTGAACCTGCGAACCCTGGGCCACTAAAGTGGAGCAGGAGAACTTAACCACCGTGCTATCAGGCTGGCCCCTGATGTAGGGTTTTAGAGCTAGATTTCTAGGGGGCTAGTTAAGACCACGCATCAGGCTCCAGAGCCACCCGTGACCTCTCTCTCTGCTGCCCCCTAGCCATGCTGCGGATGGTCTCCGCCGTCCTCCAGTTTGGCAACATCGTCCTGAAGAAAGAACGGAACCACGATCAAGCTTCCATGCCTGACAACACAGGTACCGCCGCCTGGCCTGCTGCCCACCCCCCTAACCTCAAATTCCCTGCCCCACATGCAGAGCATCCCACTCCCTCGCCGGGCCTGCCTCCCACCCAGGGCCCCTCTGATTCTCTGCCCTTTGCTGAGTCTTGTCCAAAATAACATCTTCCACTCTTCCTGATTCTAAAAAGTGTGATCTCTGCTGAAAGTCTGAACAACGCCAGTGAGCCAGAGCGGGGACGGCAGGATCCCCCGATGTCCCAGCCGTTAGAGAGAGAACCACCATCAGCATCGGGCGTATCTCCTCCTGGCCTCTGTGCTCTGTGTATATATACATTTTCTGCATTTCAAAAGCAGAATTATAGTCAGTATCCCTTTTTTTAATCAACGTGGAAATAGCTCTGCGTCTTTATTATTATAAAGTCGTACAAGCTTGATGGGGAACAATCTGGCGAGACACGAAAGCGGAAAGGCAGAGAAATTACCCATAATCACGCTCCTGGGAGGTAATTGCCATTTGGCGTATTTCTCTGTGGGCTTTGTTCTCTGTCTGTATCACTGTGGAAATAATTGTCCCAGGAATGGAATCATGCTTCACACCCCGTTCCCCTCGAGATGGGGAGAGCTTTCTATCCTGATTATAAAATCCTATGGGCTCATTTTCAAAAGCCGTACAATGTGGAAAATATGAAGGAGGGGGCATCCCCCTCGATGTGCCGGTCAGAGCCACTGCATTTGGGGCTCTGTTCACACCCAGCAGGTGTGCTGTGCACACTCACTTATTCATTTGATTTGCCAAATTGGGGTCAGACCTTATAAACTGTTTTGAAATCTGCTTTTTTCCCTTAATGCACTGTGGGCAACTTTTCAAGGTTATTAACTAGAACTCCACTGGGTCTGTGGGTAGAACTGTATGTCACTATAATTAATCTCCTTTGAAATCCTGTGTATTTTATTTTCTGAATTTGCAAACATTAATTGGAGAAGCATGGGCTTCACCAGCTGGCAAAGTACACACCAAGCACTTAGAACCATATAAAACTGTCCTGTTACTGGCAGCGTAGTACTCCATTGCACATTACGTGCTGTTTTCTCAAGTCACTTTTTTCAGTTCTTAAATACTTTCTGTATAATGCAAGGTCACCGTAGAAGAATTATAAACTGCAATTGCACCAAAAAAAAATGAGAAATTTAAATCCTCATGACCTCACCTCTCAGAAATAATCACTGTTGACATTTTAGTGTGTTTCCTTCCAGGATTTTTTTCTTTTCCTTTTTCCTTTCTGGAACTGAGTATCTGTAATAACTGTTTTCCCATCATAGAATTGATAGGAGCTTGAAAACGTTTCTTAATTATTGTATTTATTTATTTATTTTGTGAGGAAGATCAGCCCTGAGCTAATGTCAGTTGCCAATCTTTCCTCTTTTTGCTGAGGAAGATTGGCCCTGAGCTAACATCTGTGCCCATCCTCCTCTGTTTTCTATGTGGGACGCCGCCACAGCATGGCTTGATGAGTGGTGCATAGGTCCGTGCCCAGGATCTGAACCTGCAAACCCCAGGCCGCTGAAGCAGAGCGCGCAAACTTAACCACTTTGCCAGCAGACCAGCCCCTCTTAATTAATTTAATTCAGAGCAGAAGGAAGAAACACACCTGCCCGCACAGCCCCACCTCCATCTTCTGCAAAAACGTCTATTAAACGTTTTGGCATCCGGGCACTTTTCTATGTAATTTCTTTTCCTACAAAAATAGGTAACGGCAGTTAATTTTTAAATATTTATTGTGGGTTTGGCCACCTCAACGAACTCTTATTCCAATAGTTCGTTTGGAACATTTTATTAGGAAACATTTTATTAGGAAAACAACATTTTATTAGGAAATTTTCAAACACACATCTTACTACATTTGCTTTATCGCATATCTTTCCATCCATCATTCATCCATCGTATTTTCTGGTGCATTTCAAGGTTGCAGACTTGGTGTAGTTCTCACGTACAGACTTCAGCCTACATATCATTTACTGGTGTCCAATATTTCTTTACAGTTCTTTCTTTGATTTGAAGTGAAGTGTGCAAATCATGAAATGCATACATCTAAAGTGTACCGTGTAATGAGCTGTAATAATGTTTAGTGACTGCAGAACACTCATTCAAATGGATGAAACGGACTCTCTAACCAATCCCCAGTTGTTGGGCACTCAGCTTGTTTCCTGTTTTTCTCCGTCATAAACAAGGCTGTGGTGAACATGGTCCAGTCTTTGCTCACATCCAGGATTATTTTTTGCCAACTCGGGGCCCCAGAAAGAGAATTGTTGGGCCAGAGAGTGTACACACTTTTAGGACCTGTGATGCCTTTAGTGGGAAAGGCTGGGCTGTCTTCTTTTCCATCAGTGGTGGGGGGTGGCGCCCTCCCCCCCACTCCCGGGCCATCGTCACTCCCCGTGCTGATCAGATCTTGGTGCCTCTCGCCCTCAGCTGCCCAGAAGCTCTGCCGCCTCCTGGGACTGGGGGTGACGGATTTCTCCCGCGCCCTGCTCACCCCCCGCATCAAAGTGGGCCGAGACTATGTGCAGAAAGCACAGACCAAGGAACAGGTGGGCGGGGCTGGGGGCGGGCGGGGGCGGGGAGAGCCGGGCACCAGGGTCCTGGGTCCTTAAGCAGTTTATGCTGTTTTTTCTCACGCGCTCAACAAACTTTTGCTGAGTGTCTTCTCGGTTACCAGCTCTGGTCTAGTGCTAGGAATAAAAGCAGTCATGGAAACAGAGACCATGCTCACAGGGAGCTCAGGCTGTGTAAGGAAACAGATCATAAAAGAAGATAAAGAAACAGTGATGCCTTCTATGAAGCAGGGGTTAGAGTGATCAGAAAAGTCCTTTCTAAGGACGTGGTGTTTCAAGGCAGAGGGAACAGTGTGTGTAAAGCGCCTGGGGCTGGAACAAGCCTGGGGAATTGGGAATATTAAGGAGGGCACTGAGGCTAGAGAGTGGGAGAGACGGTGGTGGAGGCTGCAGCCAGAGAGGTTGGAAGGGGACAGATCAACCTACGCATCACTAATCAAGCCGTGCTGTGGAGGCCTCCCACGTGTAAAGTGGAGGAGGATGGGCACGGATGTTAGCCCAGGGCCAGTCTTCCTCAGCAAAAAGAGGAGGATTGGCAACAGATGTTAGCTCAGGGCTGATCTTCCTCACATACACAAAAAAAATTAGCAAAGGGACAGATCACTCAGGGTCTTAGGGGCCACACGGTAGGAGGTGAGTTTTATTCCGAGTGCATCGGGAGGCTGATGAGGGTTTAAGCCAGGGAGAGACTTGATTCATTTTGTCTCTTATAAAGATCCCGTTGTCTGCTCTGTGGAGAATTGAATCCATGGGGGCACGGGTAGAAGCAGGAGACGTGAGGAGGCTGCTGTCGTAGTCCAGGCAAGCCATGACGGTGGCTGAGACCAGGATGGTGGTGGTGGGAGTGGGGAGAAGTGAACACAGGCTACAGGTTTTCAGAATCCAGCTTTTGGGCAGAGGGCTCTGCCTGGCCTCAGGCTGGGCGCTCACGATGCTAAGATGAAGAAGATTCAGTGGAGGAGATAAGGACAGAGATTGGGGTAACACTGACCCGGGTTCCACTCTCAGCTGAGGTACTATTGTTAGGATCTGTTTTACAGATGAAGAAACTGAGGCACAGAGAGGTTTATTCACATGCCTGAGGTCACACAGCCTCTGGGCGAGCCAGGATTCAAACCCAGGTTGTCGGGCTCCAGAGTCCACCCTCTAAACTGTTGTGCTGTCGAAATCGGTTCGCAGGGTCGGGGGAGGATTAATGAACTCATGTGCCCTGAGCACTTCACACAGTGCCCGGCGCACAGTAGGGCTTCAGTAATGGTTGGCTGTTGTTAATGTCATCATTCCTGATGAACCGTGAGGGGACCCCGTCCACACCCGGTGTCTCCTTGCGGCCCCTGGGGGACGGGCTGGGCCGCTGATGTGCAGGCCGGGCCCTCACTGTGTGCCCTGCCCACAGGCTGACTTTGCGCTGGAGGCCCTGGCCAAGGCCACCTACGAGCGCCTCTTCCGCTGGCTGGTCCTGCGCCTCAACCGCGCCCTGGACCGCAGCCCCCGCCAGGGCGCCTCCTTCCTGGGCATCCTGGACATCGCCGGCTTCGAGATCTTCCAGGTCTGCGGATGCGCTGGGCTGGGGGCGGGGGCTCCAGCCTCGGGCCCCGTCCTCTCTCCCTGGGTCCCTGTCCCCCTCTCCCTGGGTCTCTGTCCCCCCCTCTCCGGGTCTCTGTCCCCCTCTCTCTGGGTCTCTGTCCCCCTCTCCCTGGGTCTCTGTCCCCCTCTCCCTGGGTCTCTGTCCCCCTCTCTCTGGGTCTCTGTCCCCCTCTCTCTGGGTCTCTGTCTCCCTCTCTCTGGGTCTCTGTCCCCCTCTCTCTGGGTCTCTGTCCCCCTCTCTCT